ATATTCTGGGAATATCATTTTGCTATGTGGGATTCACTCCAAAGCTACTAGCAGTTGAAACAAACCTCTTCTGGCCACCTTCGAAAGCTCCCTCAGTGTGTCTTTTTGATCCCTGACCGCCTGAATGACCTGGAAAGGAATAGTCCTACTTTAATAAGCCAGGAATACAAGCTACATTAAAAAATACAAAAGGAACAATATGAAATTTCAAATCGTCCAAAGTATACTGAGATCTATCAGTGCTCTGATTTTTACTAAAATGGCAAACTTGGGACTTAAAAAGCTAAATTACTTGACCGTGGCCGATAAGAGTTCGCGCGAATATAGATTTGACTACTCCAAAAAAATCAATTTTGGGTTTAGCAAGCCGGACTTAAAGGTTTTTTTACCTGGCGACAAAGAGTGCCCATTCTGGAAAAAAGACACGTTTTGCGATGTCGCTCCCAATGGCTTCTTCTGCACGCCCTTGAGCAATAGGTGTAGGAGCAATTGTGACAGTTCTTGTACGATTTGGCCTCTTTGGATGATGGTAGCGCGGTTTTTCCACAACGCGAGTAGCGACAACGCAGCAGCACCGGAGTGGGCAGAGCCGGATCGATGTTGCCCGACGCTGGTTCTGATCCTTCTGAGCGGCGTCGGTAGGCGCCGTTTAGGTCGGCGTCGCTCGAACGGCGCTTCGGGCTAGTGCTAGCTGACGCCGTCTCTGAAAGTGATTTAAATGTGACCATTCTTCAGCTTCCAATTTTCTCAGACATTTGACGTCTCGAACATAACTTTGCAGGAAAAACACAGGTGGATGTAAATCTACTTTGAAAACAAAACAAGCAACATTGAGCTACTGATGCACGTTTGTTGTTCGTGAATTTTTTGGGGTGTTAAGATAAAACGAACTACGGTAGACTCGTGTAAGTGAACGGAGAACACGCAGTTATCCACCACTAACGGAAGTGCAGATTGAAGCTTCAAATAATAGCGAACATTTTTTTAAAACCCTATTTAAGTACCCTATTGAAACAAAATATACATATTTTAGTGCTGAATCGTTTTGCGCCACAGCTGAGCAACTTATACTTCTGGTCTTGATTAGGCCTGAGTAACACTGTATTGAGTTGCGCTATTGAGTTCTTGCCGCTCTCTGAGTTAACGAGTTATAACTCATCGGTTAATGAGTTATAATTTATTTGTTGAAGCTTTACCTAGACCCGAGACTGGAATTTTCACATCTAAAAAAGAGGACATCAACATTTTTTCTGAGTATCGTTTTACTACTTTGTTCAAATAACTAAAAAAAAGTAATCTAGATTTTTCCTGCAGCAGAACGAGAAAGTCCAAAGAAAGTCGACGAATTTTCTTATAAAATTGATCTCTTAATATTTTTGCATAAAAGATTCAGTTTGCCAGTATTTTACAGTGAAACTTTAGAGAAAACGAGGTTTTTCTGTTTAGAGACAGTGTTGTTTAGAAATATTGACCTAAAAGTGAAAAAACCCCAGTTTCCAAGAATTTACCAAATAAATGATTATAAACTTTCGATTTTTCAGTTCGGGGAAATAATTCTGGAAAAAAACCCAGACATAATTATTACGGGTTTGTCCATAAATCGAAGCTGTAAGTTTTCCAAAAATGTTTGCAAAGCGGTTAAGGAAGCGAGTGTTCCAATAAAATTTCCCAGTTCAGCGAAAAAACTGAAAGCGGCTTTTACCTTCCCAATTAAATGCAGGATCAAAAAGAAATTTTTGTTTGCAAAAGAAACATTTTGGTTTGCTGCAAAACCAGTTGCGTGCACCATTTTTCTGTCGAAAAATTATCAAGTGTTAAATATAGCTCAAATTTTATTGGACGGATGTGATAAAATGGCATTAAAATCCTGAAAAATCCACAAACATTTTTGCATGTTCTACACCCTGATGATGCAGATGCCGAAAAAGATGAAACAACCCGAAAATAGTTCCCTTTGAAGACAAATTTAAAGGCAATGCAAGTCTATCGTCTATCCAGTTTAAATTAAATCCACCTTTGCGGCCAAATTCAATCACAATTAGCGTCGATTATATTTAGACTTGCCCACATTTTCACCCTACCGAACCGTTCACAAGAGTGCATCTGCACATTAACGCGAGTCTACTGTATTTTCCATTACAACCAGTGAATAATTAGCCTAATTTCTAACCATGGAACGAAATCAAAAGTTGAATGAAAATTAAATCGAAACACTACTTACACATGCCTCCTACCTTGAAGGCACGGACTTGCGGCCCTACCAGAAGGAGGAAGACCTAGAAGGGAATCCAGAACATCCTCCAAAGTGGTGGAACTGGGCGAAGGTCGCACCCTGGTAGTTCCAGGCGATAATGTTGCCAGATCTAGTGAAACATATCAAATTCAGCAACTAGCGGCTTTTGAAATTGATGAAATTTGCTTCCAACAGATTACAACTACATGCTGCTTCTCCTCAATCGGCTGAAGATGTGGAAAGGGTTCGAAGCAAGAAAAATCACCATTTTTATTGCAATTAGTGCTTTTTCGTTGACATGGATTTGGTATTTTAAGCTTGCAATAAAGCCCTGTAAAAGTCACTAAGATTTGCAGTGTTTGCATAAGCTTCAAGCATCCACAGAACATCCAACCCAGTGTTAGTAAGTTTATCAACAATTGTCTTCACTCAAGTTTGAGTTTGTGGACACCCGGTATAAAAAATCCGTTAAAACCTCCACTCAAAGCATAAAGCTAGTTTGTGTTAATTGCCACATAATTACCTTACCTTCCACTGGATTGTATATAAAAACACTCGAGTCCAACATTAATAATGCCCTGATAAAAAATAAGTGCAATATGACCAAAGAAAACCAAATCAAAAAAAATAAAACAAAATTTATTAATAAATGAAACATATTTGTACACGAGTCGCTTATAAATGTGTAGTAACAATACACAAATAGAATCTAACAATTTCAAATATAAATTTTGTTATTTATACTAGACTAAAGAACCAAACAGTAATTAGTGGAGGATACATTGCTCTCAAATATATAACGATTAATTATCGACTATAATAATAATTAAAAAAACTTTAAAAACATATGTACAGTTGATCGTAATAATATGCACAAAAGTGGAGAAATTCGCTTCAGAGTTTTAAGCCAAACAGTATCAGATAAATAAATAAATTATTAATTTCTCGCCCATATTGGTTAATTTTTTTTTACTCACTACTATCACAATGACTGAAAATTCATGGAATTTATGAGAAATTAATAGTCTACTTACGAGTCGAATAAATAAACAAGGAAAATTGCAAACAATAAATACTAAAAAGAATAACCAAATCTGCAATTTCATTGGGCCCTTTCACAATGCGCACATTTAAAAAACGCCTCTAAAAATCAAGCAAACAACAACAACAAATCCCTATATCAAAACCTTCACAATTTACCATTTGTAAACTATGCGGTGACACATACAAAAGCAAATGATTATGAAAGAAAATGAAACTAAAAAGGAAGTTGAAAAGGAACACGCTTTCTAAATGCCGTAATTGCCTGGAATAAAAAAGCGGCAGAAGAAGAAACTTAAACAACTTTGTTTATTGTTTACTTTCCTTCTTCGTTTCCTATTTGGTTTTTTGGATAAGTTGTATAGTAGGTACATATGGAAGTTTTAACTTAATTTGAAAATGAAATAAAACCGTTGAGTTCGGCAGGTTCTTGATAGAACATTAAAAAACTATCCAGAATCGTCTTTAAAAAACTTTTCGAACATCTTCGAAAATTGTCACATGGCAGGCAGCATAATTCAGCACTATTCAGAAGCATTTTCCTTTTCAACTCAAGCTTTAGCCTACGATACAATCAACATTTCCAAGGTGATGTGAAACTCTAAAAAACAAGCCATACATTTGAATAGAAAATAGGGAAGAACATCAACACAGGCATACATAAAACTAGCACCATCATTGGCCAATTTTCTCGTCGCTCAACATTGCAGATATTGAAAGTGAAGCATATTGTCTGGATTCTTGGTAGTGAGAGATATTTACAAGTAAAAATAAAGCAAACCAGCCTAACTAATGGGGCCCTAATTAGGCCCGTAGTGACTCACCAGTGCTGCTGTGGTTTTGCAGATCTAGTCTCAGACTCTGAGGGGGCACCGGGCTTTCTGAGCAGGTAACGGGAGTCTCGGGACTATCCAGAGGTTTAGTCCCCACAAAGGAGCTTTCCAGCCAGCAAAGTTTCTGGCTACCCCTAGGCGATACTGAACTAGACCGTCTACTACTGCCGTCCTGATTGTCGAGACCTTCGGTCGGTTTCAGCCCACTAACATAGTGGACAATAGCCGAAGTGACCTCCTTAATGGAGGTCTGGATCTCCGGGCTTTCTTGCTGAAGTGGTTGGTGGCTTTGCTTAGAAAGCAACGTACTGGCCAGTCTTTCTGCTGGTGTTCGTGGTCGGTTCAACCTCTCCTGCGATCTCCAGCCCATGTAAGGCTGCCTGTAGTTGAAGCTGGATCTTGCAGAACTGGGCGAAAGCGTGCCATTGGCTTGCCTGCCTTGATTGAAACTGCTACGGGTGCTCTGGCAAGGCGAGGACGCAGTGCTGTTGAGTTTTGAGGTGCTCCATCGCACAAAAGGCTGGCTGGAGGGCGTGGGGCTCAGCACTAACGGGCTCTGAGTACCCGAACCCAAAGAACTGAGACTGGTTGTTTTCGATCCCGTTCCTGTCCATCGCGATTCTCTCGACTGATGTTTCTTCAGCAGGAAACCTTGGCCGGGCACTTGCGAATTTTTGTACCATTCGGGAACCGTCAGTTTTTGCAGGCTCCGCTGGATTCTCAGCTCGTGCTCGGACATAACGCGCTCGGTCTTTTGGAGTTCATTTTCAGGGGGCTGCAAACAAACAGAGAACTCGATCAGTTTTCAACAGCAACAAGATTTCCAGCATTAAAATGTTAGATGAAAGGGAGCATTAGAAATAATCAACTCGAAGTCATCGGAATTAGCTATGGGCATGATGGGCACGTCCCTATGGGCATGACTTTGTATCGAAAGCTGGTCATTTTGAGCCCATCTGTGATCTTTGCGAACGTTTAGCGCTATTGAATGTCCCAGTATTTGCACAGTTTTGCTTCAATCTTTTTACAGTTGAGGAATTTCGGATAAACTCCAAATAGTAAAACACAGTTCTCGAGACGGGCTATCAAAATTCTTAGTGCTGATTGGATATTTCGACCCGTTTCTCCGGAATAGTGTGTTGTGTACTTCGAAAAAGGGCTCTGAGTTTTAAAAAATCTGATATTCGAATAGTCGTTTAGTGGTTTATTCGAATAGTAAAATTATTCGAATACTCAATAATCGAGTATTCGAGTATTCGAATATTCGAATATTTCGTTAGATATTCGAGTGTTCGTTTTCCGTTCACCGTTTTCCAAGAAGAAAAATCTCATATCATTTTTGGCAACTAGCCGCAATGGATAAAAAAGTGCCTCTGTGTATTTGTTTAAATGCTTTTAGRATATGAATAATTTATTTTATAAAAGTATACAAAGTGCATATAAAGATATTTGCACCTTGTGAGTTTGATAATGTTAGTGTATTCGAGTATTCGATTATTCGAATATTCGAGTATTCGAATATTCGAGTTATGACTACACATAATTATTCGCTTTTCGAATAKTCGAATACTCGAATTATTCGAGTTTGATTCCGAGCCCTACTTCGAACGCCTTAAAATTTTGCATTTTTGCTTCTAGCTCTTTAGGGGTTAGGAAATTATATGCACAGACTTATGAAAAACGACACTGCGGGGAATGTTTTATCGTAAAAGTCGTGCGGATTCTTCAGGTAGTTTTAACCATTTACGAGTTACACATGAAAATTGACCAGAATCCGATCGATGCTAAAACACTAACTGTTTCAAACGTTAATTTTTTGCTTTGTTTGCTTCTTTAATTTTAGAGGTTATATCTTTATAGCAAAAATTGTTCACACAGTTCTGAATTCAAGCTATAAAAAGTCCTGAGAACAAAAATTGGATATTCGACCCGCTTTTCAGATAGGTACAAAGTGGTTTGGAACTCGAGCGCCGACAAAATGTTCAGATTTTGGCTTCTACCCTTTCACAGGTTAAGGATTTCTAAGGAAGCCTAATTAGGAAAAGATAGTTCTAGAAATGGGCCACCGAAAATATTATTACGACTAAGGGGAAATTTTAAACCGTTTTGGAGATATAATGTTTTTCGCAGCTTCAAACGGATTTTTTTATTCCACTCTGTACTTAGATAAAGACCCTTCAGGGTGAATGCGATATTTCCAACTGAAAACTCAATTGGTTCCATCAAAGCCTTAAAAAAATTGAATCAATTTTGCCCTGTGAATGAATAGAGACACGTAAAAACGTCCATGGAAAACTAGCGGAAATATGCAAAACCCAAACAAACCAGGACAAAAAAGCACTTGAAAAGGCGACACAAAAAGGCTACGTGTTCATTAAATAAAAGCTTACCATAATATTAATCGCGAATTTCAGCAAACTGTAGACTAAACTGGCTCAAATCGATCAACCTTTGATAACACGCGTTGAATGAATATCAGCAAAACCCAATATTTTTATAATTCTCTCCTTATTGTTTTTGAATTGGACAAGGAAAATACACGCTGACGTAAGCGAGTATATGGCAATCCTAATCAGAGGATCAAGAGGTAAGCAAGTTTAGTCATAGCACTTAAATAGTTGAGGAGGCATTCGATAACCAGAACAATTACAAGCAAAATCAATAGCGATCAATAACAATAAAATAGCAATCAGAAGTTGATTTTTAAACTGGCATAAAACGGGCAAATTCTCAGTAGTCCTTGAAGTTCAAACCGTCATGGAAAACTAAAATTTAATTTTGTCTTTAGCATTGAGCTGGAAATGGACACTTCTCGATATTTAATTTGAAAATTTAAAACTCACTTGTTCCCACAACATGCTTAATCGCACCCACTGGTGCGAGTAAGAGTCTTCGAACAAAAACCCCGGCAGCTCGCACATAAATTCCATATTTTCCATTCTTTTTAACGCCGGTTCTCTTCAGAAATGACTGCTCAACATAAACCACTTCACAGCTCGTTAAGCTGGAAACACCTCAAAGTGGCCACACTTCAGAAGCTCGTGAAGACCTTTGCAAAATGCCGACAACTTATGTTTACGAGCTTGAATCTTTAGTTGTGTTGTGGGTCGATTTTTAGGGCTTCGTTCACCCAAACTGGAAAACCTCTAGGCATTCAAAGAAGGCTTCTGCTCGACTAGAATGAGCAAGTGGAGGATGTTTGGTACCACCACTGATTCGGATGTGGTCTACCGTGTAACTAAGACTAATCGGATAAAAATAATCGCTTTCTGGATTAATCCTTAATTACCAATTGAAAAAACGGGGGCGTTCTCTTTAACGCGCTATAAATAGGTGGACTATTCAATATCCCATTTACACCTTCGTTAATAATGTCCCAACCTTAGCTGGTGGGCGTTTAGGGAATGTTCGTGTAATTTTCATTTATTGGAAAGGAAATTGCTCATTGAAACCGACGCCTATCGGAAGTTAGCTGGGACTTAGCAACACTGCACTCTCAATACCCACATGTACAGTTTTGGTTATCGCCGTAAAAAAATTACATATTCAAATGTCGTAGACAATTGGAAATTCATAGCCAGTAACTAGCATGCCAACGTTTGCTATTCAAATTCAACTATTTATTTTACTTATCCACTTGCGTGTCTTTTGTTAGGTGGTATTGATCGTCCTTTGGCACACTTTTGTGCACTCCGGTGGTTTCCTTCTTTTCGCTCTCAACTTTCCTTGTGATTCATTCATGCAGTTCCTATTAAGTTTCCCTCAATAAACGCGTTTAGTTAGTAGCAATTTATTTATTTCCTCGCCAGCATTACTTAATATCCACAATTAGATAAAATAACCTTGCCCGGCTTGATGGGAGCACTAAATCAGACCCGTAGCATAGAACAATAACATATTAGTCAGTCTTAGTTTATTCAAGCGAATGAAAATGCTTTTTAGTGCGTTTTCCGTATATTAAGATCGTTTCAGAGGGCTAAAGCTTGTTAGCAAATTGAACAAATTGTAGCAAATTGAATTATGAGTGTTTGAAATAAAATAAAGTCGTAACGTTTGCCCTGAGATGGTGAAACTTCAGTTTAGATAAAAGCAGAAAGTTTCTGAAAACGTCTGAATTTTGATTTGCAAGTTGGGCAAGTGCGAGCTAATCGACCAGGAAGGGTTCTCTAAAGACCCCAACAGAGCGATCCCAATATCTTAAACTTTTCAAAGCTTTCGAGTTTTTTGCGCAAAAATGCCATTCCACGTTTACCAATACCAGAACTCATAAGCAAAGAGTTAAAGACCATTTTTGATCAATTTCTAAAAAATTTAGTGAAAAAACCTCATACTCTCRCGATTCCTCCTATAAAACCCCATTTCAAGCCTGAACTCAAAAAGTATATTATTTTAATGTATTAACTTTCAATTTTGAATAGAAATATTCATTCACAACTTCACTTCATTTTGCCCTTAATTTACGGTTCAATTTGAGGAAAAAATAAACTGACCTAAAGCAATCAAAAACGGTAAGTGAAAAAAGTCCGCAATCAAGTCTAGAAAAGGAACAAAACACATATGAAAGAAGCAATTTAAGGAACTTTTCATCCGCATCAAATAATTAATCATCGAAGAAAACCCCGAAGGCTCTAAACGCTAAAAAATCTAGAATTAAAACAGCCGAATAAATGAATAAAAATGCAAATAAAATCAGCAGATTAAGCCACTTTTCCTTCGTTTAAAACTCGAAATTAATCGAAAAAATCGAATTTTAGCTGTACACTTAAGCCTCAGTTGATGATTCGGGCTACTCAGAAAATTACAAATAATGAAAGTAAAGCAGTCGAATTAAATTAATTGATTAATTCAATTAATTGTAAACTGAAGAAGTCAGAGCATGGAAAATGAACAAAATCGCAAATGAAAGGAACAAGTTAAGACACTTTTGATCCTCTTTGCTTGAGGGTTGACTTACCAAAAAAATTGAGCTTTTACTAAATCCTTAAGCCTCAATTGACGATTTTATTTAATCAAATATAAAAAAATTGTCGAAACTAAACAATCGAATAGGAATAGAGTGTCGAAGTCAGAGTAAAGAAAATGTACAAAAACGCAAATTGAAGGAACAAGTTAAAGCACTTTTTCTCCACTTCAAACCCGTAATTAACCAAATAATTAGAATCCTAAAGCCTCAATTTACGATTCAAATTTAACCAGAAAAATAACCGAACCAAAACAATCGAACAAAATTTAAGGCATAGAAAATGAACAAGAAGGGAAAAGTTAAGGCATTTAAACCCGCGCTAAACGATCAAAATCGATTTTCCACTGAACCCTCAAGCTACGATTGACAACTGAATTTAAGCAAAAAATTTAAAAAATATCGAACTTAAACAAGGAAATAGACATAGAGTGAAGAAGTCAGGGCATGGAAAATAAACAAAAAAGTTAATCGACCAAAAAAAATGAAGCTTTTACTAAAAAAAAACGAAAAAAATGTAAAATGAAAGTGGCCTGAAAAATTAACAGAAGTCCAAACTGCAAATGCAACTTTCCTTCCAAACTGAATAAAAAAATGTTTTTACTGAAACCTCGCTAGAATTGACGATTCAATACAATCAAAAAATGAAAAAGTCCAATGATAAAACAAACGGAAAAATATAAACTGACAAAACCGTCGACAATGAACAAATTTTTCAAATTGTAGATGCAAGTTTCCCTTGATATTAGTCTTCAACATAACTGAAAAAATAATAATTAAAATCTCGCCAGTAATTGACAGTCCAATTTCAGCTA